GTACTATTGAACCCCCTATACATGTTATCTAAAAAAAACAAAGAAAAAAAAGTTCAACGGTCAAGGCGCACAGGAGAGGCTCACACGAACAAGTATGCTTTGCAAACCTTTCCACAATAGAAGATGTCCTCTCTTTTCACAGTTCCATCTGCTATTTTGTCCCTTATTGCTTGCCCCACTTCGTGTTCATTGTAATAGACCAATGCTCCATCAATATGTCTGTAGCCCGTCTCGATCGCAATTTTGACAGATTCATATGTAGTTCCTTTAGGAGTCTGTCAAAAAAAAAGAAAAGAAGAAGAAGTACTGGAAGTAATATATAGTATAAAATAAAATAACAACAACCATAATAATAATATAATAAGCACTCAAAAGTCACAGCAATAAACAAACAAACAAAAAATCCTACCACTATTTTTTATTTATTCATTTAGTTTTTGCTTCGTGACACATGCACAACGATATACAATATACAATTAAATCATGAATCTTACCTCGCGGGGATTTGCATAAGTTCCCAGTCCTATCAAGGGTATGCTGTTTCCGTCAGATAGGGGAATGGAGTGACTTTCTGCTGTCAATTCCATGTTTAACAAAAATGTTTGTTACAAAGGTCAATCTTGACGATCTTAATGTCTGACACTGTGCACTCACTCGAACTTTTGAATACTGTCTAAGAGGCTGGCTCCTCTGCTTTCTACTTGGCCAGAAACTCCTCCCAAATGCAAAGTGCCTCAACTGTTGCTCAACCGATTGCTCATGAAAACATGAAAACATGAGCAACCGGACTCCAAGACAAACAATTACAAACAAAAGTGAACATGCTATCTGATCATCATGAATGAGACTAAAATGCTATACTATGTGCTATATTATCTGTTGGATTAAGATTTCAGATACTGGTGAAAGCTGGCAGTGATAATGGGATTACGCTGAATTTATCTACTCCAGAATTTATCAGTTCTTCAGGTGACACGGTATTGAAAGCCAAAAGGTGAGAGGGAAATTAAAGGGTATTATCAACGGGACTATTCCACTCCACCCTCATAGTGGTACATCCCATCTACCTAGTATTGAAAAGTATTTCATGATTCAAGAGCTTTATTGTCAATACATGAGTATACACAGTTTACAGTGTACCGAAATGCTGTTTCACCCCAAGCCCCCTATGGTGCATTTCAGGGCCGTGCAGAGAGGTTTAAAGGGGCGGGTGCTCAAAGTTAAAAAGGGGCACATTGAACCAGGCTGAATAACAACAACACACATTCATCAAGAATCTAATATGGGAAGGGCAGGGCTGTGTTGATCTGAGACTGTAGACATTAAAAAATCCATAGGAGAGATGGTAGCTGATTAAACAAGTGTCATGAGATAATAACAAAATGCAAAGATTGGTGACAGCACTTGGAATCATAAGGCAACAAAAAAACTGTGAGAAATAATTTAGGCTCTGCCTGTGAATCACTCTTTGTTTCTCTTCTTCCATCCATCCCATCATTTCATATATCACTCTCCACTTGCTGTCTATCTAAGAACAAGGCACAACTTGCTATTGCAATAAACTATAATCTAATTATCCACACCTAACAACTCTTGCACTTAATCTATAATAAAATGATGACAGAAAAATGTTATAGCACTGCCTTTAGTAGCCTCACACAGCGCCTACTGTTCCCTCC